AGGGCCGCTTGATTATTGGTAGTTAATTTTATGAACTCTTTTTCTGTCAATGCAGGTTTTATGGTTAACTGCTTCTGAAAATTGCATGGGCTCGTTGCGAAACATTGGCTCTGAGTTTTGACTAAACTGGTTTTTTGAATGTGTGCAGGTTGAGTTTGTGTTGCAGGGCTATATGTATTGTTCTAGATTTTTTTTCTCTGAACTGGTTTAAGGAATGCAATGCTACCATGAACTAGTTCAAAGTGGATTTATGTAGCTGAACTGATTTAATGTTTTTGATTGATGCAGGTTGGTTATTTTTGAAGTGTCAATTGGTTCATTGTGTTAGTTGACAACATGAAGGGCTTGATGTATGTGCAGGGTTGTTTCCATAAATATTTCTTGGTGGTGATGGTGTGTAATGAAGTCATGACTATGGAAGCAAGCATAAAGATTGAAGCTTGGTCATGGCATGATGTTTTGACATTAAGAGTTAAGTTTAGGCTTAGGATTTTTGAATGTATGTTCTTTCGGTGTGATGTAAAGGATTTGTAATGGTGTAGTGGTTATTGGAATGAAACAATTTATATTTACCATATGTTGACTTTTGAGAAAGTGCAAAGAACTTAAGTCTTGAATAAAATCCATGAATGGACCTTTGAATGAATAATGATGAACCTTGATGGAAATCTTGAATGTCATGAATTATACTTGTATGATCATGAATAATGCCTTGAATGAATAATGAACACAGTGATGTATGCCTTTGTTACTTGAACCCCAAAAAGATCCACATGACCAATCTTAACATGTTTTGCCAAATTTGATCCAATCAACTACCTTTGACATTTTGAACATCTTGAATTCAAATCAAACTTTAAATCCAAATCACACTTGCATTATCAATGAACCCTAACTTTAATCTCACACCCACCTTAATTTGCATTACAAGCAATAAGCAATTGAGAGGAAAACAATTGCCTTGATCATAATGATTCCACCATTTCACTTATTGTGCCATGACCCAATATTTTGTAATTCAGTCCACCAGATATCTTGACTTGATGACCAATGAGATAGTAATGTCTTGAATCCTTGAAGTTGAAAATAAGACTTGGAGTGTAGAAAGGAGCATGGCCACCAAGACGTTCTTGACACGAAAATCCACTAAACCTCTGTTGATGAATTAACAAGCTCACACGTGATGTATAACAGACCCTAATCCTATTACTTTAAACACACATTGAGTTAAGAAGGTATCTTGACATGTTACGAAAAACCAACCCTAGCCCATAGCATTCTCAGTTGAACCCTTGATGAAGATGAAAAACCTAGTAGCTTGTGGGGGAGAAGTTCACAATAATCAAGAATCTAAATCCTAGTTCCACAAACCACAGTTACTGGGAACCCAACTAATTTAAGCCTGAGTGAAGATGAGAATCATCAAAGCCATAGAAACCATAATTCCACAATATCACCGGTCCCATGCCAAATTTATTTATTGATTAATGATGCATGAGGTGTAAAATGACCTAATGAAGGATATGTAGATGAAATGAGAATTGCAAAATGCATAATCCAGATAAAAGTGAAAGGGTAGGACAAATTTGGGGTATTACAAGAAGTAGAGACTCTATAGGTAAGAAGGTTCTTATTTCCAGAGCTCCATATGTAGAATGTTCAAAAAGAGAGCTGAAACCTTTTTGTTGCCTTTTCAAAGAGAGAATCCACTGTATGAACAACCACCTCTTGTCTTGTCTGAATCCGTGCCTATTGAAGAATATAATCAGGTTTGAGTTGAGAATATGAAACTCTACAAGAAGGAACTTGAGACTAGCATGAAGCTCTTCATAGTTTCCCAAGAGAGGACCCAACTAGCTCATAAGCTTAAGAGAGTTGAGGGGGGGGTAAAGATGAAGTAGGGAGGGCTTCGAGGAGATCGAGAGTTGAAGAAAATTTTGTTTCTTTTGAAGATCATCAGAAAGTTGTTGTTGAGATTGAAAAGAAGTACAAACAAAAGTGCCGAGATAATGAGATCCTCAAAGCTTCCAAAGATGACATGGAGAAAAGGTACAAGGCCAAGATTGAAGAAATGGAGAAACAACTTCTAGCCAAGGGGGTCCATCTTGAAGAATAAAGTACTCAAAGGCTTGCAGCAGAGACTCGGCTTAAGGGAAGTAAAATTCACCTAGAACAAGTTATAGAAGAGAATGCAAATATCAACTTTCAAATGGGAAGACAAGGATTTTTGAGCTAGTCAGAGCTATATGTTTAAGTGTTGTTTTATTTTTCCGAAGATCACCACCAGACTTGTTGGATGAGATCTTTATTTTTTATGATGTATTGTGACTATCTATTTTATATGAACTCAGTTTATTTAGAAGTTTTGTTATGAAAGAAAAAAAACAGTTATTTGCCATGATGTGTTCTTTCGGTTATTGCTTATCTCTTTTATCATGTTGCTTGTTATTTTTGATGGCTGACAAAATTCTTGAACACCCTGGAAATGTCAAACATAGCATGCATATCATGCATCTCATGCATAACAGGTTTTATGGCCGGTTTTCTTATCTTGTGATTCTGCTTTTATTTAGCAGAAATTGCAAATTCGATGTTCCACCGTTATCACACAAGGTGTAACCAACGTCAACAAATGGAGCAAGTATAAGCTAATGTGGCAGCAATGAAGGTTCAGATGGAGACACAAATGGATCAGTTCATGGAAGTCATTACCAACATGAACCATAGCTGAAACAACTGGAAAAATCATCGAAGATGAAATTCAATGAAGTCGCCATCGAATGTATTTTATCCCGCAGAAAGGGAAAGGTAAACATCGAGAAAATTTGAGAGGGGGTGAAATCACGGTCTTGTGACCATAAAAATCGGGTAAGGAAGTCGGTTACGCGAGGGGAAGGTGTTATCACCTCACACGTTTGTGGTACTCCACATGATCCACTTATGTGTGTTCTAATCTAAGAGTGTGTAAAATCCATGTCTAAAGCTTAAGAGCTAAAAGAAAGATGCAAGGGGGAAATGCGTGAAAAAGAGAAAACACGGGGAAACGAAGGAAATGTTACAAAGGTCGCTCGACTGAGCCCCGTTGTAGCGATAAAAAATGTAGCGGGGTAAATCGGAGATCGAATTATTAATTAATTCGTCTCACAAAAGCAAGAGTCGCCACCGCGCTTTATCATTTCCAAGGGAAAAGGGAAAAGAGCGAAATAAAACCCTAAAATATGCAATGTAAAATAATACTTTTAAAAGTAATGAAAATACAAGGCGTTTTTTAGAAGAGATCTATGGTTCGGGGGTTGGTTATACAATGGGAAGGTATTAGCACCCAATGTATCTATAATATTCTATAGGAACCTTTTGAAATATCTGTTTATTAAAATGTTCATTTGATTAAAAATAAATTGTTCTGGCCGAAAAGGGGTACGGACGGGTTTTTGAAGGTACGACGACCTAATGTCGAAGTTTTGACTTAAAAGGTATAAGTTTTAAAAAAATTGAATATTTGGGGAAAAATTATCTTAAGTTTTAATGAAATGAAGATATTCGCGTGATTGGATTTGAGGACATGAAGTCAACAAATTTAATCATTTTTTCTCTTGGATTTAGACGTAAACAGAATAACCAAATAAAGATGAAATAATCAAACAAAAAATTAGATAGATAATAATTAAGTAGCTAAGTGATATATAACCACAACAATGATTAAATGACAGACTAAATGGTGTGAACATGCATTTTTTATATTTTTATTTAACATGTACAAAGCAAGAGAATTAATTAAAGAAAATAAAATGTTTTTTAAATTTTTATTTTTTATATATATATTTTGGTATTAATATAAAGTATTATTTTAAGAATTATTAAATAATTCTAAACTAAATTAAAACTTTAAAAGTTATTAACTTAAATCTAATTAAAAGTAATATTAAAATTACTAAATTAATCCTAAACTTAAACTAATAAAATTGGTCGAATTATTTAAAATTGTCTAATTAAATACACATCTATTTGATTAAATTTACTAATTAAACTAAATTAATAAAATTCTAAAAAAAAAACTAAAAGAAATCAAATAGAAAGGGAGGTATCAAGAGTTAAAGGGGGTAAATGATAAGCAATTCGCATGGGCCAAAGGGTTTTTAAGGGGCCCAATAAAAAACAAACAGAAATGGGAGGGGGGTGTTTTAATGGAATTCATTGGGTTTCAGGCCTAGGAAACGGGTTAAGCCCAAATAATGAAACAAAGTTTTAGGGTTAAACATTTATCTTAGTTTGGGGAAAAAAAGGATTAGGGTTAAGCAAAGGGTACAGAGCGGCGCTCTCCTCCGTTATGGATTCGTCTTCGTCTTCCTTCTTCTCTTTCGAGCCAAAAACATCCAAGACCAAGCCCTTTGCCTCAAAGCTGCCAGCGCCACTGTTGTACCCCAAAATTCGCCCTCCCATTTCTCATTAATTTCTCACCACAAAGCCCTTGAAGCTCAAGATCCAGTTAGGGTTTCATCTGCTCAAGACTTCTCCTTGCACTGTTGACCCAAATTAGGGTTTGTGTTTGCACAAAGATGTTTTGGCCTAAAATGCCTAAGATTACTTTCATGCTTCATTTTGGACTCCCAAGTTTATCCATATCAAGTTTCAAGCTTTGATTCCAAGTTTTGCTCAGTCAATTGGACAGTTGACCTGGAAATCAGCTGTATTGGGGAAAAAGTCAACTGTGGCCAATTGACAGTCAAACCTCATGAAAATTGACCCACATCAACATTATGAACTCATATGGACCATTTGATCAAGTTTGGATCATAATTCCATAAGAAATTTGATCAGATCACCAGAAGGGCAAAATGGTCATTTTTAGGGTTTTGACTGCACAAAGACAATTTTTGACTGTTTGACCTAGCCAATGGCAAACCAAGCTCATATATGGACTCAAGGACCCCATGGAATTATCTTGACATGCTCAACAAACTCAAAAGATCCCAAGTACACAAGATTGACAGTTGAATTTCCCAGTCAATTGATCAATTTTGACTGTATACTGAAAAGTCAAACTTTGACTTTTTGGTCAAAATCAAGAGCCAAGATTCATTTTTCATCAAAACATGTCAAATCATGAAACTTGTTCACCAA